TTTACTTCACAGTGGCCTCGTTTAACATGTAGCCATTCTAACATATGTTCCCAGTTTTTCTCCTTCACCCTCTATGGTGACCCCTGCCAAACGGGCCAGTGAGTCTACCTGATTGTTCCAAACGTGAGCTGGATGATCTCCTGCCTGATGTGCAGCGACCCACCCTACTCAAAAAGACTTTTCTTTAACGATATTTAGGATTTCTTCCCATAAGATTAAAGAAAAAATGGTGGTTGTCGTCCTATCGCAATTTATGCTACCAGTTTCATTGATAATTGTAATATCATTTGCACGCAGGTAGTAACTGGCTTCCAATGACTGAAATGGGAAAGACAATGAATGAAGAAATACCATACTCTGGAACAGATAAATAGCTCTATTTCAGGAAAGATAATATATTAAACCCCACACTGTGAATATATCACTTTTTATTTCTGAGAGCACTTTCTATTTCTATACTATCTGCACTTAGGAACAGAACAACATCCACTATCAATACATCTTTTTGCTGACTTCAGACATCTTTTGATCAAAGTACTTGGATTATAACGGGTATGCAGTATCTCAAATATTACAACAGTTAAAGTAATAAGAAAACCACTTTTCAGTACATTATCGCATTTACGCTCAAGATGAATAAATGGAGGCCAGTTCATGTAAAATGCCTGCACAATGCCCATTGCAAATCACAATCAAAATGAGGATGGAGCCGAGGTGTCCTGTCCCCGCAGCCTAAGCGGCCAGCGATCCTCCTTCAACCCTGGCCCCTGGCTGCATGGCAACCCCACTGATGACCAAGAAAAGGGCTCTACTGAGAGTAAACAAACTTACTCTGTATCAACATACTAATTTAGAGTGCAAAAGATCTGAAGGGCATGTTCTACACAGTAACATGAAACCAAAAAAGCATTCAGTGTTGGCAGTGACACCGGCTGACTGCAATACATGTTGAAAACAACGCGGTACTTCCCACGCAGGGTTTCCACGCGCTCCTGTTGATACTCCTGTTTTCACTCGGGCGCATCCCATCTCCGTTACAGAGCCTTCTTCACCTCCTCCCAGCACCCTCTGCTAGTCTGCACCACGCAACACAACTCGCAGGACACAAAGGTTACGGGAAAAGGAGAAGGAGTAGAGATAAGAACAGCGACAGGCTGCTGGTGAAACAACAGGAATTACAAATTATTTTCTAAATGTACCGGTGATTAGAAAACTCTCACCACGCTACAATCGGACTGAACATTCAAGCAGACATTTTGTCTTCAATTCCTAGCGTAATACCCCCCATTTATTCCTCTTGCTTTCTCTGGGAAAGGTCTCGAATCAGAAAGATGGGGGAAAATAACTCTCCCAACTACTGGACTGAAGTCTGCTGGCTGCACTCCTAATTCCTAGCTAGTTGAGAGAGATTTGCTACACATAAGAAAATGTTTGTACGGCTAAGACCTGAATGCCAAATCTTCATTCCCATGGAGTAGGAATATCCCAAGGAAGCCGAGCACAGTACCGACCAGCTCTGCCCCAACCAAAGTTGCAATCATGTCCACAGATCGCTATGGGTGGGCTGGAGATAACAAAAGAGGGAACATAATTGCTATGACAACCAGGTATTAACATGCCAAAGGGCAACGTCTGATCAGCATGTGGGTGTGCACGTGCACCCTTATCCACCTGTTTAGGATTATGCTTGTCCAGTTACCTTGATTTCTTTCAGTCTGTTAACTCTCATATATAATATATACACGATATATTTAACAGTGGATGAGAAATGTCTTTTGTGGTTTCTAGATCCCTGTCTAAAAGCAGCGAGCCAAATGCTACTGTCCTGATAACTACACAAGCCTTACTGACAGCAAGGGGTTATGCCTGTCAGAGGCTTTCAACACTGGACACGGAAGCCTTGAACATATGTCAGTACCTGGCAGAAAGCAGTTACTTGAATGTTCCTCAAACAGACGCCATGTTAGCTTTCGACGTCGTTGAGTTCTTCCATTCTCTAAAAAATGCATTTTAAAGACGTTAATGATAACAAAAGGAATATCGCTAACAAGGCGTAGGCTGACTTTTTGAAGAAGCTTTCAGCACGAGGTAATGAAAATGTGAACTGAATTGAGTGAACAAAAACAAAAGACGCCATTCTAAATGAAAAATTACAGGAAATAAAATAATTTACCACCACAAGGAACTTCCCTTGTGTTGAGATGCAAAACTCTTCTAATTAGAGGAAGAGATGCTGGATTGTTTCAACATCTCTGAGCGTTAATCACCCCAGAGCGTACTTCAATTGAGACCGAGGTGTTCCAGCAGAAAGGAGAACGTCCTGGTGGGTGGGATCAGAGATGCAGGAGATCTGTCAGCATCTCGGAGAAGGAAACTGCCGCTGCCACGGAGATGTTATGACAGAGATTGGAGCTGGTTCTAGAAGTCCGGTGGCAGCAGAGAGGGCTGCTCTGGCAGCTGTCAAGAAAGGGTCTTCCTCATGTGGTGAACCACCACCATGGAAACCTTGAGACAGAAACTGTCATGCCCCGTCTGTCCGGAGCTGTTCACGCCCCCCGTCCTGGTCCTGTCCGGCGCACACAACTTCTGTAAGCAGTGCCTGGAGAAGATCCTGCTACACCAAAACTGTCACCACATCAACGGGTTGTTCCACTGCCCCCTGTGCAGGAAGGTAAGGAGGAGCGATCCTACGTTCTCTGTGGAAGCTGGGCAGGTGCCACATCTCGTAGTTAGGAGACTTTTGTTTTAATTTGAAGTGGCAGGTATGCCCCATCTCTTTGCTGGAGGACAACAGCTCTCAGAAGGAGTAACACGCCACATCTTATTTGTAGTGAACGGAACAGGTTGTTTGCAATCACTCCCATGTTTTTAGTAGTGTGGCATCTGCATTTCTGGTCCCTGAACACACTGCTGCTGCACTGCAACCTGGCCTCAGAATCCTTAGATTCCTGGTGGAGGAAAAATGTGCAAGTGCTAAATGCTATCTTCTTTAAATTAGATATTTTCTAGGACTCTGACTAAACAAGATATTTGCTTACTATTGTTTCCCGGTTTGACAGGTTGCAAGTTCATTACGTCAGTGAATCAGCAGATTTTCTTGACATTTGGAACATACTTATTTTAATATCCATATTTTACAGACTTCTGTAAATGTCAAGTCCACTGTGAAGGCTTTTCTTAGGGATAGATTCTGCCACCAAATGCTAATACACAGCATTTTAAAACCTTCTCATAGTCTTTATGGAAGCAAAACCTTAATTCAGTGAAAACTGAAGACATCCATATTGCCTATCTCGCATGCAAGTAAATTTACTGACTTGAGGGAGTGAAAGGTTCAGGACTGGATTCTCGTAATGCCTTCATGACATGCCTCTGAATATTTAAAAAAAAATACACTTTTTACCCGTTAACAGAAACTATAAGATCTCTCTACTTGATTTGCTGAATTCTGATTTCAGACTAAACAATGCAATTCCCGTTTGTTTAGAATAAACTTCCTACACTCAGAGGCAAAGTACGGGTGAGTGATGCTCACGAGCCTTCAAGTTACAAAATACATGTTTGAATGAACTGGCTGCCTAGGTACTTCTGCAATATTTCACCACGGTTCAAATCTTATTAATGTAAATATCAACTAAATAAAAATGACATATTTTTTCTACATTACACTGAATTATCAGAGAAACAAAGCGTTCCTGTATCACTCAAACTATTTTACTATTTTTTTCCTTTGTAGGTCATTTATTTGAGGGGCAGAGGAATTGTTGGCCAACTACGAAATAGTTTAGTTGAAACTATACTGGAGAAATTTAAATATGAGCTTGAAAAAATCTGTACTCAGGAGAAAAGACAGTTGACCCAAATCTGTGAAGAACATGGAGAAAACATGAATTTGGTATGAATTTTTATCTATCCCTTTTCATTTTAGTAATCTGCACACTTTCTATTCTGTAAGTGCTAAGTCCCTACTAAGTCCAAAATGTATTTATTGGAAATCCTAGTGGATGATCAATACTTCAAAGTTCTCACATATAGCAAAGTTATTATAATAACAGATTATATAATATTAAGATATAGAAATTTATTCTAAAATTAAAATAAAAATGAGATAATACTGAATATTGATAAGGATTTCTTACCCAGAATATTTTTGTCCATCCCACTAATAGGGGATTTTCTGCAGCCACTAGCAAGAGCTTCATAAACTTCAAAAGAACTGTAACCTTTTTAAAAGTCATGCTCAGCCTTTTAGGCTAACGGCAGAACTAAAACTATTCTTATTGAACCTGACCAAGTGGTGTAAGATAAGTATCTTCTTTGCCTTTTCTAAGTACTGTGCTAAAATGACTAAAAAGGACCAGTTTCCTTCCCTTATTCATACTGAATACGCAATTTCCCAAGAATCCACTGATGAAGCTAGCTGCAAAAGCCACAGAAGCACAGCTAGAAGTAAGCACATGAGTAGTCCCACTGAAATCAATCCTCTGAGAGGTCCAAGCTCTCATTCCTCAAGGAGTTCAATCATTCTCTGCCATTCCTACACCAGCACTTACTAGAGAAAGTGACACCATAAATAATCATAAATAGCTCAAAGACACAAAAAAACCTTCGTTCATTCTACGGACTGGAAGACCCAGTGCCACAGATGGTGATTAGTCATCACTTTTTAGACACATTGTGGATGCATATTGTCCATTTGTCTTTGAAAACTGCATCTCCTCTTTGAATTCTCCCACTGGCTCCCCATTTCACTGCACCTCACTCAAGCCCCTCATTCACACATTCCAAATTTTTTGTAGGCAAAACTACATCTGACTGCCCTTCAGTCTTACAATGCCATTTCAGTATCTCCTCCTGTTCCACTAGTGAAGCCACTGCTCATTGCGTCCCACGCAGATGTGTGCCTTCATCATTCAGGCACGAAAAGCATCTCCTGAACTAAGCCATAAATCGGAGTTCTCTCCATTCTGTAAATCATCTCGGTTTGTGTGTGCTAGTGTATGTGTGTGTGACTGTACTAACATGGAAACAAAATTACAAATATCGGAAAAAAGATGTATTTATCTTCCTGCAGATATCACTTACCTCCATCATTCATAAGTTTTCTGGGTAAAGACTGTATCTTCACCTGCAGTTATGCATCAGTTTCCACTATCCCCCATCACCAGTGGGGTATCTAGCACTACGTATCACCAAGATGCAAAATACATAATCCTGTGTGTGCTGTAAGGTCCAATAATATGGTTTATTGAATGTGAAACTTCCCTATACCATCTGATATCAAAATTCACGACATACACTTTTTTTTTCTCAGCAACTAAAAGACATGTGGTTTGGCAAAATTCGTATCATGTACTGCAAATGCCAACAGAACAAACACAGCGTAAGAGCAATTTTGGTTTGGAAGACACACACTGCAGCTTCACCAGCAATACTCAGTTTTGGCACTTCTAACAGTGTCTAAGAACAGACAGACCAACAAATTACTTGGATTATACATAGATACTAACTCTCCTTGTGTATTTTTTCTCCCTCAGATGTGTCTGACTGATGATAAGCCAATACATGCAATCTGGAAACTCTTTGGAAAACACGAGGACCACAATGTTGCAAAAATACCAGAAGCTTACAATGCAAGGAAAAAAACATTTATAAAAAAATTACACTTAGTTCATAAGAAATCTGAAGAAGCTAGGAAGGTACAAGTGACTCATTCGAGATGATACTAAGAAAATCACATGAACCCTGGATGTTTGATAGAAGATTAGTGAGCTGCATTTTGATTCCAATAGTAGGCAGTCAATTTGTAGATTTTCAAGAGGGGCTTAGGACATACAAGATAAAATGGCTTAGCAGGAAGAGAATAAGAACGTATTTTAATCCTTACTTAGATTGTGTTACAGCCCTGGCCAAACTGGCTCTTTGTCTTTTGTTCACCTAGGTATAACACGAGTTTTGAATACCAAAGCTTTTCTCACATCTTCAAAATTTGTTAACATTCATTAAGTAGATGAAGAAACATACTAAGGTATATTACTGGATGTGGGCTTGCAAATTTTAACTGCTGTTCTCTGCAAAGAACATGCAGCACATGCAATCTGCCATCCCAAATACTTGTAGTAATACATGTACAGCGCACAAGTATTCCTGTAGAATACCTTCCGACCAATGTCTTTACTAGGTAAGTGGGCTTGCAAGGGGGCACTTAAGAGCTGGTGGAAAAAGCTGGCACCTCACTACTCTTATCTCCATCCAAAGGTATCTTGTGTTCGAATAGTTCCTAAGTCTCAAAGTAGGTGGCTTATTCTTTGAGAGAAAGACATGCAGAGATCACCTGGAGACGCTCATGTCTTGGTCAGTGCAGTTAACACTCTACTCCACTCCCGCCTCGCTGATCCGCAAGGGATCCCATTTTCCCAGAAGTGCTGCTGTCTCTCATGTGACTCCGCTGATGCACTAACCGTGGCAAAGCTGCAGCCGAGCTTTACTCCCAGCTCCCCCAGTGAAAGGGTTACGGAACTACCAGTAGCTATTTCATTCTCAGTACAGGAAGAGCAAATAGGCTATATCTTGCCTGAAAAAACCATGCAAACCCACACAAATTATACAGTTTCTCTCAGTGAGCTGACTGCTAGTCCCCTCCTCTGCTCACCTTGGTGCAATCTCCACAAAGGCTTGAGCACAGTGCACAGTTGCCAAAGCTTCCTAAAGAAAACAAATCACATTCCCCAGAAAAGAATTTAAGAGATCCATTTTGCAAAGCACCCTGCAGTTCAGGTAACTTGCAAACCTAGAGACAAAATAGCAAAACGGTTCAAAATGCATTTATGATTATTTATATTTTCAATTGGCTTCAAGCACTAACAGCTGCCAAAATTGTAAAGAGTACAGAGCCTATAATGTATATCTACATATCATACTTTTTGGAAGTTAAAAGTGCATTTACCTATTCTGAACACGACTTGGAGACATGGTTTGATGCAATACATAACTTTTCATTAATTTATTTCACACAGGAAACTGAAAAGCTAATCAATGAGCTAACAGCTGGTGTTACAGACACCAAGGTAATGATTGACACAGTTGGAATGGGTTTGCTGAAGGGCATATGGTACCGAATGGCTGAACTGCAAGCCAAGTTACACCATGACTATTCTACAAAACTGGAGAAACTGCAGGTAATTGCAAACGAGGCCGAAGCTTCGGGACAGCTTTATCAGCAAATAGAAACCCTCCTGGAACAGCATGAACATTCTGTACAATTTCTACAGGAGGACAAAAAATTCAAGGAAAAGGTAGAAAAAGCGCTAGAAGGAAAAGCCTCGTATCAGGACCCACCGAAGCATAAAATTTCAATCAACAGTATTCTGAAGACCTCATCAGAGAATAAATATCAAGGATTATCTCCCTACTGCATGCAAGGAGATGCTTTCAAGTACCATTGACATACCCGAGACATGTCAATCAGAACGTCCTGCCTTTGTTTTTTCAGATGAGAGTCCTGATCACCACTTCTGCAAAGAAGTACTGCAACCATTTGAGAAGTCAAATGACATCAAGCAAGATAATTTTGAAAATGCAGGCCCCGCCCCGTGCACTGCAGTAATAATGCAAACGCTAGCATTACTGAAAATTTATGGATTTGCTGACAACTTCTGTAAGTAGTGCCTGGAGAAGATCCTGCTACACCAAAACTGTCACCACATCAACGGGTTGTTCCACTGCCCCCTGTGCAGGAAGGTAAGGAGGAGCGATCCTACGTTCTCTGTGGAAGCTGGGCAGGTGCCACATCTCGTAGTTAGGAGACTTTTGTTTTAATTTGAAGTGGCAGGTATACCCCATCTCTTTGCTGGAGGACAGCAGCTCTCAGAAGGAGTAACACGCCATGTCGTATCTGTAGTGAATGGAACACATCTTACGAGTGCTTCAGCCAGCCTTCCAACACGC